CACGGTAGTTTTTAGCCAGCCGACCATGATGAAAAAAGTGGGTAGTTACAAGCAGTTGCTAGAACGATCAAAACTGCCCAAGCCGTATAAAAGAAAGAAGAAGACAATGAAGAAAGGAGACAAAAATTCACTCTCAAAACAGAGAACATGTAATTTATTCTTCTTAGATTAACTTCTTAATTACTTCAACTCTCTTGTACCTGTGTGCTTGCGCCCCTTGGAGGTATCTTGTTCGTGCCTCAACTGTAATCTTCATATTTGATAAACACCCTTTTTTGCGACTTTGTTCCAAGAGGTTTGTCCCTTACAAAATCATCTGATTCCCTTTTAATTGTTAGCGAGCGAAAAACGCGCGAAACAGTATCAATAGTTATGTCGAGAGCTTGCTTGACCGCATTAGCAACGGTTTTCTGGCTGAGGATAGGAGGATTGCCATTGTTGAACTCAAGTCTGTCGTGACTGAAAGTCATACTGCACAGTTGGCTTTTGGGGCGATGGGTTGGTTATTTCTTTCTTAACGGGCTTGCTCACCTTTCAATTTCTACTAATGCTCATTCATTTTGATGTGATTTATTCCCATTACTTGACTTGTTGCAGGATTTCCAATACTATTGAGTGTATTAAAGGAGGAGTGTGATGATGTGGAAATAGTTTTTTCTATTTACTTTTTATCTTCCCATGCTTACTATGAGTAAAACTTGGTATCAGTGGGGGCGAAAGCCCTCCTAAATACCATAGCTTCCTGCAAAGCAAATATAGTCGACCAAACTCCAAGCTTTGATACCATGATAGACTCAGAGAGGTTGGTGATTTTATTGTATAGAAATTAAAAGAGGGAAGGAGGGAAGACAATAGAAAGGAAAATGAATATGTCTCAACTAAAATCCTTGAGCAATGCAATAAGCACATATGCAGATATAGAGGGTAAACAAACTGTACGAGCCTATTGGCTAAATTTAAACACAAAAAACATATTACCCAGTATAATATCTACTACCAAAACAACTACAATGGATAAAATAAAGCCCTGGTGAACTTAATGCTAGCTTATCTTGCTAAGATTTTTCCATCCCTTTCCACACAGTTTTCCCTCATACTGAATGTAGCTCAAAAATTTGATGTCATCGCCTGAATTTTATCTAAATTGTCAAAACTGTTGATGATTAATTATGTTGTTGTTTAGTCTTTTCCCGTATGCCACAATGTAACGCAGCTGTACTGTGTAATTAAGTACTAGGGACTTATTAGTTTTAAATCCTTTTAAAACTAATTCCAATGAAGAAAAGGCAAGAAATTTGATTACAGAACTTTTAAAGCTATGGAAGGAAAATATTAATAAAGAGAATGAAATGGCTCCGGTCACAATTTGTTGGCAACGTAAATCAGCCGATGTTGCACAGTCGCCACCAGTGAAGGAGTCACCTTAAGTAGACAATCAACCGCACGACTCAGATTTTATAGTGATACTATTGATGCTTCTCTACGTGTTCATTTGCGTTCTGGGCTTTGCCGCTGATTTTATAGTGATACTACTGGCACTTACGCTCTCCATCTCCGATTGTCTCTCTGCCGCTGCCACCGCCCTATGAGCCTTTTCTTCTTCTTCTCTCTCTCTCTCTCTCTCTCTTGTTGTTGTTGAGCTTTTAGTATATTTTTACAGATTGATTGGTGATTTACAGATTTAGTATGGTGATTTGCAGGTTTAATTTTAGCATTTGCACTTTTTGCGCATGAGTTTGCAATTTTTGTTGGAAACATACGATTTGTTGATTAGATTTTTTACTCTTGGTTAGGCGGTGAATTCCTAGCCGTTGAGTGATACTGACTATTGATTTTGTTTCATTTTAGCACAAAAGCATATGACTTCTGCATTTCTCCCTCTTCAACCCTAATTTAAACTTCATTGCAATTTGGCATCCTTATCTTCCATCGCACCTCCATCGCCTGTCACTACCAGGTATCATATCTTTTAGCCCAGCTCAAAACTTGTCTCCTCCAAGTTTTGCCACTCTCGAAACTGAGTTTTGACCGTCGATTGATTTGAATGGTTTATGTATGACCATGAGTTCTCGTCAATGTAATTTTGTGGGTTTCTCTATGTATGACTCTAACATGTAAATACTCACAATCGTATTGGGCTGCATTTGTTTGGGTCTAAACATAGTATTAATTTTAATAGTAGGGTTTTTTAGAAGTTAAATTTGAAATCTATATGCTTGGGATTTTGTATGTAATACCCCTTTATGTGAAATTTTTGACATAAAAAATGATTCCCAAAGGCAAATCAAGTGTCCATTTTTTTTTAATTGATGTGGGTTTTAGTAGATGGGCACAGATTTCGGTGGGTCTGAAGTTGATTTCGATTTTTGTAGCTGATATCAGTGGATGTTGATAAAAGATTTTCAACATAGGAACTTGAACAAATGGTGAGGTGCGATGCTTCACCATAAGTTGGACATGCTACGTTAGAGAGAAACAACTTCAAATAGGTGATACGTGTGTATTTGAATTTGTGAACGAATGTTCATGGTGTATAAAGTGTGTCGCATCGATTGAAGTTGGACTCTTACATGAATTGTATATTTTCCATTTTTATGTTTCATGATAACAGTTTACTTGTTATCGAACATTAATTTTGTATTCATATGTACGAAAACTCCATAACTAAATCCATTAATATTTGGATTTCTAATTTGCATGTGCTATTTTTACTTTATATTTGCACTCAATTGGTACATTTTACTTTTTCAGAGTATAACAGTTAGAAAACTTTGACTTTAATACTTTTAATTAATGATTAATTAGCACAAAAAGTCCCTACCTTTCGGGTTGATTGTGGATACCGTCTCTATATTTTATTCCTTGACATTTATGTCCTTACCTTCAACGTTTTCATGTGCTGAAGGCCCTTTTGATTGTTTTTTGACGATTTTACTCTCAATTCAATTGAAACAAAAAGAAAAGAAAAGAAAAACAATTGAACAAATTGCAACTATTGGTCCAAAATTTTTAAAAAGTGGAAATAGCGTACCAAACTTCTTATTCTTTCCAAAACTCGCCCTCACCAAAAATTGCCAGGTTCGACCACCGTACCGCCAGCGAAACCACCGGATTTTTACACTACCAACACCTCCTCATCCCCTCCACAATTTTATACCAAAAAGCAACCAAAACACGTCAAAAGAAATCAAACCCAGAAATGGCACAAAATAAATGGACCAGCAAAAATGAATACAGATCAATCGGAAAAAGATAAAGAGATATATAGAATTCAAAGATGAGCTCAAACGCAGCTAAACGTCACCCAAATCCACGCAGGAAATAACACGCATAAACGACAAAAGTGAAATTGAATCACCAAACAAAGAGAGAATATCAGAAAACAAATCTTTGTTGAACCGAAAAATCAAATCCAAACCTCCCCAGACCAAGAAAATTCCCTCCACAGCTTACAGCAAAACCGGTATCATGTGCTAGAATACAAATCGGAGAATCTCTATACAAGATTTTCAGCGACTGATTTACAACTGGTTGTGAGGAATTCGAGTGCGAAATAATATAGAACCCTAACGTTTTAGGGACGTACAGGTGGAGGTGATGGTCCATTTATTTTGTGCCATTTCTGGGTTTGATGTCTACGGTGGCTTTGATTTTGCATGGCTGGGGCTGGGGCTGTTGGCGGCTCAGGCCGCCTGTATGGTCGCCACGATGATGGCTTTGCTTCTAACAGATTGGGAATTTGAAGCCCAGAGAGCCAAACAACTTACTGGTGCTAATGACTTCGAAGAAATTGAGGAAAATAATCCGCTTTTAGCAGAAAATAAGGAAGGTCCCTAATATTCTTTAGGTGATCGCATATAAACTAATCAAATTTTGTGCCATTTTCCGGTTTGATTTCTTTTGACGTGTTTTGGTTGCTTGTTGGTATAGAATTATGGAGGGGATGAGGAGGTGTTGAAAGTGAAAAAATCCGGTGGTTACGCTGGCAGTACGGTGTCGAACTTGGCAATTTCCGATGATGGTGAGTTTTGGGAAGAATGAGAAGTTTGGTGGGTTATTTCCACTTTTTAAAAAATTTGGATCAATAGTTGCAATTTGGTCAATTGTTTTTTTTTTTTTTTCTTTTTTTCTTTTTGTTTCAATTGAATGGAGGGTCAAATCGTCAAAAAATAGTGAAAAGGACCTTCGGGACACGAAAAGGTTGAAGGTAAAGGCATAAATGTCAAGAAATGAAAGGTAGGGACGGTATCCACGATCAACCCCAAAGATAGGGACGTTTTGTGCTAATTAACCTTTTCTTTTTTTTTTTTTTGTGAAGGATAAAAATTATTGAAAGAAGAGCCAATTGCTCAAAATAAACTTTAAAGTGCATCTCTATAATTTTTTTTTTAAATGAAAATAAATTTATTTGAAACTATCATATCTTAAGTCTGAAGCAAATTCTTTCGAATTAAAGAATCTCTTTATAGTTGCTCTAAAACAATTACAAGATTTTCTAGAAGAAACATGGGATTAACATGGATCCTTTACGTAAAACGAGGGTAAGAAGCAATTTTATCCATCTCTAAGGGTCCGTTTGATTGCAAAGGTGGAAAATTGGTGGAAATAAAATATTTTACAGGGAATTGAATTATCTAGAAATTGTTTTATTGGGAGTTGTAATTAATTATATTTGATTGGTATAATTTTCCACCTGGAAAATGTTGAAAGTTTGGTGTTCGTTTGACTTCGTTTTTCATGAAAATTGTTTATTAAAGTGATAATTGTTTCTACCATTGAGTTTAGAATTTGTTCCAATTGCTAAAAAAAAATAATTCAAAATTTGTTTTTTACCATGCCAAATATCANCTTCTACAACCTAGAAATGAAGCGCATGAGAAGGGAGGCCGGGTGTAAAACATTTTCCAGGTAAAAGTTTGGCAATCAAACGGTGTAAAAAGTGAGAGAAGGAAAACATTTTCCTTTTCCTTAGGAAAATGAGGCACATCAAACACAGCCTAAATGTACAATCAATGGACTATTTGATACATTATATAGATGCAATGAAGACTGAAGCCTATTTGGTTAAGGAATTAGGGTGCAAAGACAGAGAAGACCTAATAATGGTGAGTACAATCAGGCGCGACTACTATTCCAAGGCTCTTTGTGAAAGGTTCTTGATCCATTATTCTTCATTGCTTAGCCCAAAGCAATAGGGGAACTAATAAAACCACATCACTGATACACTGTAATAGCATTTTGGCACAAGGAGCGAGAAGCCACTACGACTAAAAGGAAAGGATTGGATTCCATTTTCTTGATAGGTTCATGCACTGAATTTTATAATAGGCCTTCGATTCTTGCTTCTTTCTCATACGCGACTTCCTAAAATAAAGACGATTGTGCTACGTGTACATTATTGATTTATATATACATGATGTGTTGAGATATGATTGAGTCAGAATTTCTTCTCGCTTACTTTCTTTTTGACATGTAATCTGTACTTAAATACGATTGTGCTACATGTACATTATCAAGATTCTTTATTCAAGTTAAAGTCAACAATTAATTTTAACCATATATTTGTTAAGGCTCACAACTTTTCAATCACACATTTTATCAACATTAATCAAAATTTACTAAAAAGGTAATTTTAATCCCCATCAAACAGTGCTTAAATTTTATGTTTTGAGACATCTTAATGGTCGTGACACTTCGTTATCATAGGCAATATCTTCAGCCTTATTATTAACTTTGTTTTGAAGTCGTTTTATTGCTGATTTTGAGTTCATAGATAGTTTTGTAAATTCCTTATGAAGAAAAAAAATTGAATGCATGAGGACCAAATTTTAGATTTTGACTCAAATGAAAATCTTAGGTCCCAACGATATTTTCAAATTATCAAATATTATTTCTTTTTTGATGTTATGTTTGGCAAATCCTAATAGGCCGCAAACTTATGAGTAAATAAATAAAATTTTAAAAATAAGAAGAAATAAAAGGAAAACTCAAGATAAATATTATTTTTATCACTTAAAATTAGGAATAAGCAAACAACTTATTTTGACAGTAAAGTAAAGAATATTTTCTGTGAAGTGATTTTTTTTAAGAAATCTTTTAATTTTTTAAAACTTAGCCAAAAATGTTTAAAAAGAATTCAATACCTAAAAAAATATTAAAATCTAATTTACATTATTATACAATCATATCCATACATCAAATTTAATACCATGTTCTAAAAAGCGCGAAAATGCGCCGCCTAGTTCTCTCTCTCTCTCTCTCTCGAGTGGTTACAAAAAAAATAGCCCGTCTTATAAAATTAAAATCAAGATTTTTATTCAAGTTAAAGTCAACAATTAATTTTAACCACACATTTGTTAGGACTCACAACTTTTCAACCACACATTTCATCAACATTAATCAAAATTTACTATAATGGCGATTTTAATCCCATCAAACAAGGCTTAAATTGATTGTTTTTTCAGTTAAAACTAATTTTTACAGCACATAATGAGTTTTCAATTTTATGTTTTGAGACACCTTAATGGTCGTGACACGTCGTTATCATAGGCAATATCTTAAGCCTTATTATTAACTATATTTTGAAGTCGTTTTATTGCTGATTTTGAGTTTATGGATTTAGTATTGTAAATTCATTATGAAGAAAAAAAAAATTGAATGCATACCCCAATTTGAGGACCAAATTTTAAATTTTGACTCGAATGAAAATCTTTGGTCCAACGATATTTTCAAATTGTCATGTGTGTCTCCCTTCACCTGCTCATTATCAAATATTATTTCTTTTTTGTTGTTATGTTTGCAAATCCTAATAGGCAAACTTATGAGTAAATAAATAAAATTTTAAAAATAAGAAGAAATAAAAGGAAAACTCAAGATAAATATTATTTTTATCACTAAAAATTAGGAATAAGCAAACAACTTATTTTAACAGTAAAGTACAGAATATTTTCTGTGAAGTGATTTTTTTTAAGAAATCCTTTTCTTCTCTTTTAATTTTTTAAAACTTAGCCAAAAAATGTTTAAAAAGAATTCAATACCTAAAAAAATATTAAAATCTAATTTACATTATTATACAATCATATCCATACATCAAATTTAATATAACGTACCCCAGAGTATGATAAGTACTCCATGTCACTGTTTTATTGACATATTGTAGATAATTGAGATTCACAATTTAGCTACTGTTTAAGTACCATTATCCAAAAATTCATTTTTTTTAAAATTCATTTTAAACCACATATTCTACAAATAAAATAATTTGCAGGTAAATTTAAATTTTTTTTTCTTAGTTTTTAACCACATTCTTCAAAAAATAACTATTAGAAAACCCATTTTCGTGAAAAATGGAGCTCAAACAAGGGCTTAATTGTGATCCATACGTGGACAAATAATACACATATCAATTGATTAGTGGTAAGAAGTATGAGTTCCACATTTTAAGAATACTAAGAAAACTAAAATATTATTTCTTAGTGTTCGAAAAAGCGTAAAGTGTGACGGTTCGTGAAGGTCAAGTTTCGGGCAAAGCGAGCCTAGGTGAGGCCTAAGCGTTAAAAAAAACATTTTCTTATTTTAATATAATTTTAAATTTTGAAACAATCTAAAAGGTATTTAATAATTAAAATAATATATATCAAACATCTAAAATAGATTTATAGAAATTACACATTTTTTCAAAGTTTTTAATAAAAAGATAATTTTCAAACTCATAATTATATAATGTAGATGGCATATGAGTTTAAATCTTATCTAACTATTTATCGGGCTCCAATTCAATATCATCCTTTTCATCTAATTCATCATTCGTGCCGTCCGATACATAATAATAATAATGATGATGATGATGATGATGTTAGGTTTTAGTTGATTTTGTAATTGAAAAATTCTGTGAACAAAAGGACCAAATTGTTAGATTGTAACAATTCAACGAGTAATGTGCAATATTGTCAAAAGTTAGTTGAATAGGTCTACGGTTTCGAGTTTGGAACAAATGAGAAAACGGCGCGAATTTTCGCTGGACTGTCGCCAGGGTTGACTCGAGCTACAAAAGCAGAAACATCGTCGCTAGACCGTCGCCTCTCCTTCGCTCGAGCAACACCCTGTCGCTTGACTGTCGTTGGCTTTTCGCTTGAGCGACAGTTTTATACGGGAAATTTTATTTTCGCGTTTTAAAGGTTTTTTTTCTGGCCCATATGTTTTCTACCCTACCTATAAACATTCCTAAGCCACAGAACGTATTCTCTTAAGGTTGAACGTTGTGTGAGTTTCATCTGTGAGAGATTTCTTCTTTCAACCTTCATGTTTCTTTGATATTCGTTCTTGGTAGTGAGAAAAACATCAAATCCAATATCCAAATATCAAACTATTGCTTCCTACACATCTGTCAGAGAGTGCTAAAAATCGAGGAAGGCGACTGGAGTTCCAGTCTGTGAAGAACGGGTTGTTCTTCTTGATCAACAGGAGATATGCGATTCTATCAAGCTAAGGGCTACTGCAGAATAGCGGGATTCCAGGAGAGCGTTGGTTATTGCAACTAGAATTGGTGCAGGGGAGCACATAATTCAGGAAAGCTGTTGAAATTGCAGTAAGGAGATCAAATAGTTCGTGTAGTCTAGTAAACTGTAAGTACATAATCGTTTATAATGGATTGACTGGCAAAGTGCCAATAATTTTTCCTAGTTGGGTTTTTCCGTGAACAATTCTTGTGTTCTTTACTGCTTTATGTTTTACTGTTTATGACATGCAAATTGCTGTAATTCAACATATGATGATAATTTGACTTTCATGATTAACCATCTAGATAATAATTAAAAATGACTTGTTGCTATTTAATTCGTATTTATTTTTAATTTTGCATTAAATACCTATTCATCCCCTCTAAGTATTGTTAGGGTCGAACTACGCATATTTCAAATAATAATAATAATAATGTGAGCATAGGCGCGTCCAGCGTGGCGTTTTTCGCTATGCCTCATGCATTGGCGTAAGCGCCACCTATGCAAACCATTTTGAACAATGCTATTTCCTCAATAGATACACTCAACAAGGGGCACTATTTTCGAGCGAGCAATGCTATCTATCACTTTTAATACAACATTATTGAATGATAGACCAAAATAGTGGATCATATTTAGTATATTTTGTTAAATTTATTGTTTAAATCTTGTCTGGTAAAGCTAGTTTTTATTAAGAAGTTAGTAAAACTTCATTTTTAACCTTACGTTCATTTCATCCATAACTTTTTATAATTTTTTAATCACAAATTTTATAAAATTAAAATTAGGGATGACAACGGGGTGGGGCGGGGGCGGGAATGCCCTCCCCGTCCCCCGCCCCGTTAAGAAATTCATTCTCCGTCCCCGCCCCATTCCCCGTTTAAGGCGGGGTGGGGGGGTGGGGCGGGGGTAGGTTTATTCCCCGTTTAAATTTTTTTTTTTTT